ATTATGATTTTCGGGAACCCGAAATATTTTCTGATCAGTTTAGAAAATTACAATTTTCTGCTTTTCACATAGGTAAACACCTTTTTCTGTCATAAATTTTGTTAAAAAAATAAACAGCCTTTTTTTTAAAAACAGAAATTTTTTTAAGTCCCGAAGTTGCGGTAGCTCCGGTAATTTCTGTTTCGGCCTTTTATTCTCAATATATAGACATATAGTGGATGATAAGGTAATATAATAGATAATTACTTAACTTAATTTATGAACAACATCAAAACTCTGTTATCACACTGAAAAAGTTATTCTTGATAAAATTATATAATCGATATTTGACAGCTTCATAAGGCTATGAACATTGTGAAACAAAGCCAACCCCGTTTAATTTCAGAAAATTTTAAAATATATATTTCTAAATCAAAAAATTTAATTCAAGGCAAACCGCAGCATTTCAAAAAGTGTTTGGGTGGACTAATTACATTATCGGCGCCAAGTTAAATGCAATCCCACAGCCCGTAAGCTGGCCTACATATATTTACCGCTTTCTTTTTCACTTGTTCTGCCTTCGCATTATGTTTTATGCTAATTATCCAGATAATCCTGTCTTTTTGCTTTACTTTTCTGCTCCGCCCTACGCTTACACATACATAGAATGCAAAGTCTGAAGTTAATTAACATTCAAAAGTTGTTGCCACAAAGTTGACTACAAAGTGATACATTTGAACGTATTTATGTATGTATGTATGTATGCGAACGAAAGCTATCGGAAAACATTCGCTGAAACATTTTCAATTATTGAAAGCGACATGAGCTATTTTCAAAGCGACCAGCATTTGCAGTTAAAAATTCCCAGGGTGGAGCTTTAAAATGGCTCAAACGGTTTTAGCTACTTTTGAGTTGTCCTATTATTTACTAAAAAATTCACATAAATATAAAGTACGGATAGGAGTGTCTTATGATCATTAAATACCGTTTATTTGGTTCACTTCTTAAACTTTTTAAATAAAGTGATATATGTAAGTACATTGGGGTGGTTCTTAAAAAATATCACCACATTATGTTTTTTAAGGTCCACTTCCCTCAACAACCCAGGAAGAGTAAAACTAGTTTATATTTGTATTGTATATACGCGCGTTAGGGTGCGCTTCGAAAATTATATATAATGCGAATTTTTCAGATTCTTTACTTTACACATTTTTTTAGATCCAAAAACATATAATTTTAGCATATCCTTGTATAAATTTGTACATTAGGCGGGTCCTAATATACTGAGCCTAAGATATTTTAGTCTTACTCTGACAACTTTGCTATAAAGACCAAATAACAACACAAATTATTAGTTTTTGTGTTTAATAATTACAGTTGTACTGCTAAAATAGAATAACAAATGCATGCATATACATTTTGGTCCTGTTTCGAATCCTCATAAAATAATTTGAGCTTTCAGCCCTATATCATACATTTAAACGTCTCCAATATTTCCTTGTAATAATTATTTAATTTTCTGCTCTTTACATAGCCCAACATATTGTTTTCATCATAAGGTTTGGTAAGGAAAAAAGTACCATATTAGTTTTCTGTAATTACGAAATTTCGGGATCGACAATTAACATGTTCGGGATTCCGAAATATTATCTGTGTAACTCAGAAATATGTAGTTCACAGCTTTTTTTCACACAACCCTACATTTTATTTTGATTATATATGTGTTTTGGTAAGGAAGAATCCTATAATCTAATTTTCTGCAATCCCGAAATTTGCATGTTCGAGAGTCCCGAAATATTATCTGTATATTATAATTAAATGATCAGAAAATTATATTATAGCTTTCAGACTTCCACGTGGTTTCTGGCATTAATCGAAAACATCGGACATTTATTTATCCCCCTAATGTACACACCACTGTTCGCATGCATACATATACTATATAAAAAAGTATGGAAAATGCCCATGCTTTTTCTCACAAATTGCAGCCACTTGCGATTTTTTCTGCATTTTACCATGAAATACGCCGTTCTTTTCACTCTCCGCACGCTTGCTGCCCGATTGATTCACTTTCAAGCTCAATTGACAGCTTTGATGCAAACTTTTGGTTTTAACTTTTCTCAGCAAGTGTTACACAGCTGCAGTGCAGGTATGATCTGCGCAAAAAACACACTTGCCGCACGCAACACGACCACTCCACCAACAAACACACACACACCAACGTAGTATAAGTATATACGCGGCTATTGAAGCGCTCATAACGAGATCAACGAGATGTTGTACTCAATGGACGCGAGTACAAAGAAGAAAAAGTTGACTGAAGTAAGTCCGCAGAAGCAGTGTAACGAAGGCGAAGAGAAACCAGAACGCTGGCAAAACCCGCAAGTCTGGCTGGACGACAAGTGCACTTATGTTGTTGTTATTGTTTAGCTGCGCTGGAAAAGGTGTTTTGTTAAGGTAGCGGCGTAGCAGCAGCAGCCGCACAAAAGCACCAACAAAACCAAACAAAAAAGTAGAAAACACGATTTGCGCATGCGTACCACGAGATCGTTCGCCGCTAATGACACAGTCGCAGACAACAAGTAAAGAGTAAAATCAAACAAAAATAAAATAGTAAACTTTTTAGTTGGCAAAAACAAACAAAAAACCAGTGGCAAGAAGAAATTGCAGAATGAAATGTAATAAAAATACGAAGGTGTATAAAATAAAAAGTGAATAACTGTAAAAATCGTAAAAAGTGGCACAACACAGAAATGGTCGTAAAATGTGAGTCGGCCTGATAGAGGTAGGGACAGGAAGAGTGTTGAAGTGAACTGCAGCAACAGTGCGTACATACTTACATACATACATACATATATACGATAGTATGCCAATAGGTGCATTTGAGGTGAGTACCAAAGTTTATAGTAGGATTCATTTATAATTTAAAAATATTAGAAAACAAAAAGAAAACGTTTACTTCGGCTGCACCGAAGTTATAATACCACAGTTTTATTTTTTATAGCACAAAGGAGAAGAAAAAGATCATAATCTTGATTTTAATCGGTGAGTTTATATGACAGCTATATCTTATAGTGGGCCGATCTGAACAATTTCCTCGAAGTTTGCATAATTGCTTTAGATAATAATCCATACCAAATTTCTTGAAGTTACCTCGTCAAATGAAAAAATTTTTCATGCAAGTATTTGATTGCGATTGTTCAGTTGACAGCTATATGTTATAGTGGGCCGATATTCGATATCGAAAAGAACGTGTCGATATCTCAAAAACTGAGAGACCAGTTCGCATATATACAGACGGACATGGTTCAATCGACTCAGCTTGCCACGCTGTTTCATAACATACTCTTTGTAGGGTCTCGGCCGTTTCCTTTTGGGTGTTACAAACTTCGTGGCATTATGAATATACCCTGTTCAGGGTAAGTGATAGCACTGTTCAGTCGCAAGCAATTTCCTATATTTATTGTATATTTTAGGTTAATTTAATCTTTAACATTGTTCCAACTGATGCTAACTTTATGAAGTATTTTACTCCTTTAATATAGTATATTTAAGAAGTTAAATTTCTAAATATTTTTTAAATTAAAAATTACTATTTTTTTAAAATGTTTGGAACTTACTACAATAGCGATTTGAATTAAAATATTTACTTTTGTCTGAACAAAACTTTATCAAGAATAGGTACAAAAGAATATATATCAAATATAATATAAAAATTTTTTGGAAACATTGAAATAAAAAAAAAAATGTAAGCAGAGTTATCTGCTGCCCGAAAAATTAGTATTTAACTAAACCATTATTTATAATTAGTTTTATAAACCACCGAAAGTACTACAAAACATTTGGTATACGTTTTTTAGTATAGATAGTATGTTAAAAGTTTCATTTTGAAACAAATTTGAAACAGAAAATGTGGTTAGGGGTAGTCAGAATTTTCAAAAAATCATTTTTTTACATTTTATTTAAATGTAGTACCTTGGAAATGTTCTCTTGAAGTAAATTTAATAAATAAAGTAAAAACTTTTCGAGTTATTTGCTAATTAGGAAAGGGTTCTCGGGCGCTCTGGAACGTTCGTGCAAAAGTTCAAATGCGTTTTTCTCAAAACTATGCTTTTTGAACTGCTGTATACTGTAGCACTAAAACCACACGGTAGAATTCAATGAAATTTATAATAAAGCTTTTTGAAAACAACAAAAAGTATTGGCTGATCGAATAAATTTTTTTAATTTCCATTTTTTATAAACAACTAACTAATGGGTTTTTCACGAAAACTTGGAAAAAATTTTACTAGGTCGCCATTTTGTTAATTTCAAAACAAAAAAAAAAAAGACTTTGGTTAGACACTTTTTGAAACTGCTACAACACAAACAGCCGTTACTTTTAAAATCATTAATAGTTTTTTCAAATTTCTGCCAGGTCAAGTCGAAACCTTATTTAATGATGCTATGTTTTTACTTTTATAAAATAAAATAATTTACTGGCAACAAAAAAAATTATTTAAAATTGTAATTTTTCTATGATTCTGGCTACACTTAACCTCTTAGACAAAAATTACGCAAAGATAAAATGCGAACAAACAAACAAGATCACTAAAAAAATGTTTGTACATTGTACAGAGCCAACATGAAAAATTTAAGAAAAATATACAAAAAATTATTTTTTATATTATTTTTTTTTACAAATATAGAAATTGTATATACATAAAAATTAAAATTTGTTTCTCTGGTATATATTTTTTTAATTTTATTTAAGCTGCAATAATTTCATATGTTTTAATTATTATTATTTTATTAATTTAAAATTTTTTATTAAGTTTTATTTATTTTTAATTATTTTTTTTAAATTGTAACTAAGCTGTAAAAATATTTATTTTCCACAAAAATAAAAATGTAACAAATTTTCTGCACGTTTTCGTGCTTCAACACTTTTTGAAAGTAGTAATTTGTAGCCAACGATTTCGTTACACTTGCACCGCTAACACGTTTTCGATAAGTTATAGTACAAAATATTTCACACTTACATTATTTACGGCGCCGTGATCTGCAAATAACACCAAATAGCTATTAGTGTCTGCCTGTCACCTACTTTCACTGCCAACAACAAAGTAATAAATTAACCCCGCCGTTTCTTGAGCTACGCGCGAAAATCGGTTTTAATGTTGAAGAGCTATTTTCTTTCTTTTTTTGATTTATTTTATAGAATAATTCTTAAGCTGCGAGCATTCTTTCACATTTACGGAGTTTACGGGCTTTCACAGCTTATACAATTTTTTGTTATTGTAGTTTTTTTGGTTGTATTTTTTTTTTTAAATTTATTATTGTAGTACTTTTTTTTAAGTTTTTGTTGTTGTTGCAGTTAAAACATTGTAATTTGCACAAAAAATATTTTTCAGATTCTTTCTTGCGATATTTTCTTATTGGCTCTTTCAGCTGTTTTTACTTTTTTGATTTTTTTTTTTGTGTTAGACCAAACCCCGGTAAAATACTTTCAGCGATTTTTAACGCTTACTAATATTCTATTGAAAATAGACGCACAACGCAATTACTTTTCATGTAAAAGTGTGCGACAGACACGCGTCAATCAAACAAATCGCTCTCCAAGAACAGGTGGCAATTGCCGTTACTGCGTTCCGAATACAGAAGCTAAGCACAAAAGCAAACGTCAACAGCGAGCGCCTGAGGCTGTGAAGCACTTAGAATGGCTGCTTTTTCGATTATTATAAATTTTTCGTAAACTGTTTTGTTTTTTTTTTTGCTGTATATTCACAACAACAACAGCTAGTGCTTTTTTGTTTTTTGGCCAAAAGGAAATGCGGGGAAAAAGATTGCAAGCGAAACGTAAATTATCTACACTTTTATGCTCCGACACGGGCGATAATTTTATGCAGAACAGGCCAAGTCACAGCAGCCACTAATAGCGATGCCGAGCGGACGACAACTTTTGCAAGCGCACGAGCAAGTGCTTTACCTGTATAGGTATATGTATGTATGCGTGTGTATTTGGTTTGTGTAAACAAACGAGCACCAAGCATCTGCAGCGAACCTTTGCGTTCGAAACTTTATTTGTACAAAAACAAAGAAATTTTATTGCGAGCGTTTAGCTTTTACACTGACGAGTTTTCCGCGCCACGACTTCTGCCTCCAACGAGCGACGACAACAAATTGAATACTTGGCGTTCGAATGATAGTTTTGGAGTCATCTCCAGCTTGTAGCGCGCTCCAAAGCAGCAAAACGTAGACTCCACAACACACTCTTCTCAGAAACACACACACACATACAAATGGCGATACGCAGCTCAACTACATATGTACATATGTATATGCATAACTCTGGGGCTGAGCTCCGCTGGTACCAGTTCGTGCTTTGACAATGTTTCAATTCCGCTTTGTCGTTGCAATTAATATTTACCTACTCATTTCACACAGAGTTCTCGCGATGTTGGTTGGCACTTTGTTGTTGTTGTTGTTTTAGTTTTGCATTTTTATTATTGTTTGTGCGTATAAGCTTACCATTGCTCGGTCTCTCACACTCTTGTTTTTTTGTTGTTGTAATAGTTTATATTGTTTTTGTACTGTTTTATGTTCTTGTTGTAGTATTTGTTGTTGTTGTAATATGTGTGCCGTAAATTGAGTTTGCTCACCTATTTCATTGTTGTGAGTGTGTTGCAAAGCTTTCAGTTAGCGCTCCAAAGCCCGTTTCAAAGTGTTTCGTTTCGCATTTGTTCCGCCTAATTAACTGCTGACGGAAATTAACTGTCACACTTTTCTCGCTTCAAGCTTTTTGCTTTGCTGTTGAGTCGTTAGTTGCACTTTAGTGGTTACTGCGTGGAGGAAAGCTTTTCCAAGCTTTTAGTCGTACTATCAGTGGAAAATAGTGTTTGGTAAGCTCTTTTATTGACCAAGCTAAGACAAGTGGCTTTTGTTGGCATTAAATACAGATATGTTATGTGCCTACATAGTGCAAGACATGTGATTGTGTGGTGACTTAAGTGATGTGGTTAGTAAACGTTTTAGTGTGGTACAAGTCCTTCGAGTTTAAGAATCACCATGATTTAAACTTAATTACAATTTAATATACACTTTTTATATTGAAATATTCTATTTACAATAGATCCCCTTATTCCTTAAAATGGACAAAACAATCAACATAAATATCATAAAATATTCTGAAGTCTCAGAGTGATGTAACTTCCTCCCGATTTTAATTTCTTGATCATTGGTCATTGCAGCCGAGGCTGGAAAATTGGATTAAGGCGATAATAAACATTTTCGTGAACATAGGTGAAAATATAGTTGTTCTGTCAGGTCAAATTTTATCAGATGGTAGATTCAAACCAACAGATGGAATACTAAAATAATCTAGAATCTTAGAGAAGATTAAATTTCCTCCGATCAACATTACCAGTCCTTGATCCCTTAGGGCAATTTTTAAATATTTATTCAAAGGAGAAGTAAAAATCTCCCAGCCGTCAATTGATAGTAAGACCAAATTTATATGAAAAGGGAATATTTCCACAAATCAATTGATATCTTGACATTTGATGGAGCTTTAAAATAGATGAAAACCCACTAATGAGGCACTATATTATTCTATTCTATACTTTTTATTGCAGTTTACAGGGCTGCAGAAGTTGAATTAACATATGATAGCGTCTCTTTTTTTCATTTCTGTTACACACCTGGAAACAGGCAATAAGAGCCTATTTTCTTAGTGTTGTACCCACCATAAAATAATATTTACTAATTTTTCTTATAAATCTTTAAGACTGAATATTGTAAACGCGTTCCGTAATCCATAGCTTTTTTCTTTATGAACAATGCTAACCATAAATTACTGAATTAGTGTTCTAAAAGTGACAAAGAGGACTTGAAGCTTAATTATTGTCTATTTGAAAGCACCTACGTTAAGATTTGCATAACTTCATTAAATAGTTGGGCCTTTCTTTCGTATACTGAAAATGAGAATAAAGGTAGTTTTAGAACATTGGTTACTACTAACAATACCCTAGTGACACCTCAGCAGAATTGCTACAGGTATGATCGCTACTTGTATTCTTATGCATTATCAGATTCCTCCACAAGTCGTTTCCTTTTTAAATCTGAGTGGAAGATCTGTGTATACTTAGTAAAAACTTGCGAGAGATTTATTATACATATATGGTATTATTATTATTAAAAGAATAGAGTTAGATATTACGGAACTATCAGCTTTTACATATCAGGTCTTCAAATATAAGTCTCCGAAGTCTACTACATTTATTATAACGCTAAAAAATTTAAGTTTCTTTCTTCTAAAAGTAATATAAAGAAACATTTTCCAACACTTGCTTCAAAACTATTGGAAAACAAAAGCAAAAAAGACTATCAATCAAAAAATTTGATTCTTGCTTCAATTGAACGCTTGAAAAGTTCTTAATAAATCAGATTTATTTTTTCTTCTTTTGAACTGAAAGCCGAGAATTTTCAAAAATATCAGCGAAAACGATCGGATTAAGCGAAATCGGCACACAAATGTTACCGATGGCGCAAAATGATTGCTTTTTAAGTATGAGTCAAGATTATCTTATCTGTACGACCATACACAAAGCGCGACAGTTGGGAGTTTTTACAGGCGAGACCTTCGTACGCATTACGCTCGACAAAGCGCATAGGACAACCAAGCCTTACGCGCGCTCCGAAAACCCCTATTACAATGAGGTAATGCAAATAAAATTTTATAGAGACAAAATGTATTGTAAATTTTCTACTCAGTATTTCGTCTTTGAAATTCGTTGCACGCTTACCGAACTTTTGCGTTTAACGGTGCTATACGAAGTGCGTAAGAGAAATGCCTGTAAAAAAACCATGTCACATGGTGAATTACTAATAGATCTGCAGAGCGTTTGGAATCAACCGAATCGTTGTTTCTTCAAAAAGTGGGGTCGTCTAGAAGCCTCCATTGCCGATGTATCCAATAATACACCGGGTGCGTGTAAAGGTTATCTGCAGATCGATTTGGCGATCGTAACACAGAACTCTGATCCCAATACTGTGCTGAGGCCGCACGAGGATATGTTGGAGTTGAATCGTTGGCAAATTAATCAGGACTATGATAATATCGAGCGGTACGAGCGTGATATTCGAATATTTCTTAAATCTTTTCTAATTCTTGCTTCCTTAGCAATATGCTACAAAATGCGGACAATACCATGCAGTGCAATATCCGTTATAATGTCACACTATATAAGGCAGTGCTGACCAAGAAGAGTGACTATCTCATACAAGTATCCTTTGCTGGCAACCATGTACTTGTGACACCGTCCCATTCACCAACGACCTTTCATTTCTAAAGTTTAGATTCCATCCTTTCAAGGGCAAGACAAATGTTTGCAAGGCCACTACTCAACCGGAGTGGAACTACTCGGTGTGCTTCTCATGGACCTATCCATCCCTATCACAAACCTTTGTCGTACAAATCCTCTCACACGAACATCTACAATGGAAGACAGTCGCTGATTATGAGATACATTTCGATGAGATTGCTTTTAAAGGTTTCTTCACGAGAGGCGAATCACATTCTGAAATAATGATTTATTCCATAACTTGATATATATATACACTTTTTTGCAGATAAGCCAGCCTTGGGTCCCACTTATGTACACTTTTATGATATATCAAATCCATTGCATTATCTGGGTCGTCTTTTGGTAGAAGTCGATTCGGAGTGTTTACCAGCCGGACCCGCTCGTGATCTGCTGACAAAGCCTGTTGCTCCGCTAGACGAGAAACGTTGGTGGCAAGAAGAGACATTTCTAGTAGAATTTCTACCATTACAGGGTGACTTTCTGCACGGCAATTTCAGTAACTGTAAACTTACTATGAAACTGGCAGGTAATTCAGAAAACGTTTTCTTATACCATATTACCTATTCCTTTCCCAACCCAAGCAGCATTAGAAATTTCTTCCAGGTAATATCCAGTATGGTCTATAATACTGCTTACTTTCAGTTCAGTAATTTCAGTACTAACTTCAGAAGCATACGTCTCACGGAATTTATCAAATTCTTTTCAAATTATCTCAAATAAATTCTTTTTGAGGCAACTCAAAGGTAGATATTGACGATCGTACGATCATTTAATTCTTAAAGTTAGTTAGGCTAACAGTTCTGAGAATATCTAGTAGATCATGTGAATCTTAAGCTATAGCCCTATTTAGGAGATTTGCAGATCGTCGGCCCATAATTGTAGGATTTCCTTATTGAAAATAACCACATTCCAAAGCACTTTCCACGGGAACGGGAAGGAACAAGATATAGAATCCAATAGTTATGCTGGACTTCCTATACTGAGCTCATAATGTCGACAAAGAAATAATCCAAATATCATCCAGAGCAAATTATTCTTACCACTGGCAACTCAATTCGATTTCTTAGAAATATAACCTTTGTTATATTCCGTGTACAGTCACAAGATACGTAACAGACTGAAATCTTTCTACTCGTAATTGCTCTTAAACCTTTATAGGGGAAATGCTGAAGATTGTTATAAAATCGTTTAGACTGAGAATGCATAAGAAGTTTTAGAAGATAGATCTTAATATTTTTTACAGCTTACAATCTTAGAGATTACTTTCAAATTTTTTTTTAAAACTTTTTACTTTCAGAAAATTCCTCTAACTACGTGGAGTGTTTTCTGAAAAGTTATCCTGGTAAACATAACAATAGTGGCACTAGTTTAAAATATTTTCGCCAGGAAGCTCCATACAAAGCAGTCTATCTCAAAATCACAATGCCCGACAATCGCTACAAGTTCGATAGCGATTATTATATGCAAGAAATTTTGGACTTAATAGTAAGAGAATATAAAAATTACTTATGATGCATTTTTATAACAATGTCTTATGTTTTCCAAACAGGAATTTGAGCTCGCCACATTTAAACTATTTCAAATTAAATACACCAATCAGTTTGTGTTGCAAGCCAAATGTTTCAAGGCCATTATAATGAATTTACAGAGTAAGCTGAAGGAAGGTGTCGAGGATAAGCGATTAGAATACACAGGTTTCAAAGAGACAACCCTGTGGGATACTAATCGATTGGTCTATGTTAATTCCTTTTTCGTTAGTGTCCAAGTAATACCAAACCTTTTTGATACGAAATTAATTCGCTTTCGTTTTTACACAGGAAAAGTTCCCTGAAAAGCTACGTTCAATGCGTCACAAGCTCAAGACGGCACCTACTGTTCTCATCGAGCCCACCATCGCTGAAGTCGTGGATCAAATGGTTTTACATTCCAATGAGCTCAAGAGTCTGTTGGCCACTACACGTCTGCAGGATGAATGGCCCACGCTTTTGATTATGCTCAGTGTATCGGGAAGGAATGATATTGCGGTGTGTCGTTTGAATGCCAAATACTTTTTGAATGCGCCTCGAGATAAGTTAGCCAGTCCAAATAGTTTGTGCTGGCGGACGAGAAATTTCATTTTTAAGGTGAGATGGGTTTAGAAAGTTTAAAGGCAAATGCACAGTGGTTTCAACGGAATTAAATTCTAGAGATTTATTCAGACACATGCAATAAAAAGACGCTTCGAAACTATAGTAAAAGACTTTGAAGGCTAAAAATTTTGGTCCGTTTCAGTTATCATTGCTGTCGGAGTAAGTCTAGGTAGATATTCCATAACACTTTCGGGTCGCTAGATTAAGGTTTGGATGTCGTACGTAGGTTGCCTTTTATATTTCGGGATTGACCACCCTATTGTTGCAATCCGGTCACACCTTTATCACAAGGTTTGATATTTTTGATGTTATACATATCAAACGTTTTGACATAAGAGCGCTATTAGTGTCGTTTACAGTAACTTAAAATATTCATCTCGACCAAAAAATGGAAATAAATCGCGAACATATTCGTGCGATTATTTTTTACAACTCTCGACGTGAATTAACTCAGCAGTAGTACATCGATGAACTTGATTCAATATTTGACGATGAAACTCCATCAAAGATCAGTGTTAAGCGATGGTATGTATTAGTGGGACCAGCATACATTTAATATTGAATGAACATTTGACTGTTAAAAAAAATGTGTTTACATTGGATATCACACAATTTGTCAGTCGCTCAAAAAGAGGCCCGTGTCGATTGGTCGAGAGAAATGTTAAAAAATACGACAGCGGTGATTCGAAACAAGTCTATGCATCGTAACAGGTGATGAATCGTGAACTTATGCGTATGAGCCCGAAAGTAAACAGCAGTCGTTTCCAGCTGAGCCGAAACCAACAAAAGTTGGTCGTGCACGAAGCACTTCCAAGCAAATGGTTGCCTGTTTTGTTGGGTGAACTGGACATGTCGCAACCATAACGCAGAACAGTAAATTTTGAGTGATACACAATCATTGTTTTGCTTGTTGTCTTTTGAGAAATCAGGAAAACCAACCGCCGGAAACGGATCACTCTTGACCACGACAATGCGAGCTCTCACACATCGATTGAAATAACTGCATATTTGAGCACTCAAAACATCTATTTGATGAGTCATTCGCCGTATAATCCTGACTTGGCATCGTACCTCTTTTTATTTCCGTACGTTAACAATTAACTAAGTAGTCAACGTTTTTCGACACCTGAAGAGGCGGTTGATGCGCTCAGAGCTCATATTTTGGAGACACCTTAATCACAGGGGCAAAAGTGCTTCGGCAATTGGTTCAAACGCATGCGAAAGTGTGTAGATCTTAATGGAAATTTTTGAAATACAATAAAGTGATTTTCGATAATTAATATTTGCTTTTGTTCTCTAATCCCGAAATATAAATGACAACCGAAACTAGACTCCTCAAATCAAGTCTTGTGATAGGCTTTAACCGCTTTGTCGATATATGAGGGTCTTTTGAACTATGTTTAGAAATTTTTGGTATCCCATATTACTTTAGTTTCTATTGCCCCGTAATTTGTGTTATTTTCTTAGCGGAAATCAGTCCAGAAACTTAACCCAACCCTAAAATTTGTAACAATTGTTTCTCGTCAGTTTGTCGGCAGTGGCCTTTTAGAACCTCGATTAATGCTATAATTCAAAGATTACTTCAGGCTATAATTGATATCGTTGAAGGACGATCCATGTATATCCACATCTCTGTACAACTTTTAAATTTAAAGATTTAGGCACATATCAGACAACTATATAGTAAGAAGTCATCCTTCTGAAACAACACAGCAGCGGATTTTAATCCGTGAAGTCATTATTCACCTTTCCTATACCAGACAAAACGAAATCAACCAAAGGATCAGATTTAACAAAGAGTAAAATCATAGGATATCTATGGATCTCATATTAGAGCAGGACTACTTAATACCATTTTCACTCGTAATCACTACACATCTCTTGGGCTATACAAGTATACTTGTAACTCTTTGTTGTATCTCGATGCATCATCAATATCAAATAATACTTAGTTCTTTACAAATCCCAAACATCTCTCATTTCAGGACATACAATGTCAGCATAGTTGCATCAACTGTGGCTGTAATGTGGGCGTTATACAAGGCTCTCTTGGCATTGTGGTGGATAGTGAACGTACAGAATACCTGGCCTCCATCACTAATGATTGGAAACAGACCGAATTGTACTATTGGTCTCCGATAGTACACTATACAGTTTATAAATGTCGCATTTTCATACATCAAGCCAAGATACGTCCGGGCAGTGACTCAAGTGGACTCTGTGACGGCTATCTACGCGTTATATTCGCTTCACAGTGGGCACAAACATCAACTGAAGAGTCCACGCTCTCACCAATATGGAATTGTGTGATATGCTTTGATGTTGTTGTATTTCCTGGCAGTTTGCAGTGGTATATAAAGAATCCACCACTTGTAGCTGTGGAGTTGTACGATCGTGATCGTTTAACAGCTAACGATTACGTGGGTTGTGGCACTGTGCCAGTATCAGTGATTAGTTTGAAAGAGGCTGACGATAGTGCACGTGAAGAACCTGAGAGTAGACTCAAACCAAATAAAATGGTGAAGACGCGTACTGCAATGCAGAAATATAACAAGTTGAAAGTTATTTCGCCGCCGCCACTCACTTGGGTGCCAATTGCTCAGCGCGGCAGTGTAAGAGCCGAGGTGCTGATGTCTGCGGAGCTTGTTGAGACAACCGAAGAAATCGGTAAAATGGAAATGCCAGATCCGACCATAACTATGAATATACCAACGAGTATAAAACCAATTATGAAGAACTATGTGTAAGTTAATATTGGGCGTATTCTAGTTTGAAAGTAAGTTACCTCATGTTTTTTTTATAGTTTGGAAGTGGTCTTCATTGGGTTTAGAAATTACACTAAAACCACTTTTGGCGGCCGACATCGTATCAAGGTTATGATGGGTGATCTTTTGCTTACAAGTGGCTTGTCTTCGACGCGCTTGAAGAATAGCATAAACTTCTTGGTCATATTCGCATCTGGAGTTGTCGTGAGTATATCAGATGGTGGAGGATTTGCAATTCTAATTACTTTGCGTGGTATTATAGCAAGCTTAATCGATTTGAATTAGTCCTAGATAAGACAGAAGTAGTGTGTACACCATAACTGTTGAACTTCGCCATTCTTTGTAAGTGTCGGTTCTCTATTATACTAGACAGCTGTACTACAAAATCCAATAGTTTAGTTAAAACAAAGATCTTAAGTTGGAGCTTTGGGTTAACCTGAGTAAACTCTTTAGATCTAACCTTGGTCGCAAAGCTTATTCAATGATATAAAGCCTTGCATTATTAACATGAACGTTAACTACAGCTGAGCCGAATTTCTTAATAATAATGGAGAAGAGCTCTACAAAATTTCTCATGTATCCGCACAGAGACGGGTTTTCTGAATGTACCATTTTTAGAAATATCATCTCATCTCTATTCTAGTTGAACGCGGAAGAGGTCTATTGACCTGTTGAAGACACTACCCCTAACAAGTCGTAGTATTAGCTACGTTCTGAAACTCTTATGTTTATAATAAGAAAGTATAAGGAATCGAGAAATGTAGTACATATAGCATTATAAGTCCCACGCAAGACAGTGTCATTTCAGTAACAAAAAATTTTGCGAAGACAACTCTCCAATAGTTATACAAGTACAATATATATATCCTTTCAGAGTCTTCCTGAGCAACTAGAATACTGGCCCGCCATTATAGCCACCGACGTGTCGGTTTCATCAAAAGGCGCTGAAACCACATTAGGCGCAGTTTTGATACCCGATTCAAAACGTTTCCTACAGGTAGACAAATCCATGAAATGTATACCGGCAACGCCAGGAGAAGAGGGTACCACAATGTTACAGATTGGTGAGTTGGAGGAAAGCGAAACTCAGCCATTACTATATAGAGAGAAACCGACTTTATTCCAACGTACTTTGGGCGTGTTCAAGACATCCAAAGATCCCGCAAAACTGCCGCCGATAGATAACATTGATTTAATGCAAGTAATAGATGAGGCGCAGTACAGCTGGTGGACAAAATATTATAACTCCATATACACATATCAAGTGAGCGAATTGAAATTTCTTAACCCGCAGCTTTTCAAAATTACAATTCTTCTTAGCAAACTGGTGATCTCTCGCATTTGTATAAACATAGCCTGGTAATCTATCCGAACGAGTTGGAGCGTCAAGCCGATCTCGGTTATTTGCATGACTGGGCCGAACCGGTAAAACTGGTGCATGGCGTAAAGTACAAAAAGAACTCCATGCCGAAAGAGGAAACCTATGCAACGCTAAAATTAAATATCAAACTTGTGCCTTGCAAATGTGGTACGAACGATGGTGGCGACGGCATTATGTTGCGGCCGCTCGCGGCGGCACTAAATCCACGCTATCAAGCCGAGCTACATACGCTGACCGATCTCACAAAGATCATTGTACGCGTTTATGTGATACAGGGTGTGCAATTAAGACCACATGATAAAAATTCCAAATCGGATGCATATGTGAGGTTGCACTTAGGCGGCAAGACGGTGGCCAATCGTGCACATTACGTGCCCAATGAGAGTAATCCGGTATTTGGAAAGTGTTTTCAATTGGACGCGGTGCTACCGAGGTAAGTTTTTTAAGAAATTTAGGCAGGTAATCGAAATTTATTTAAAACAATGTTTCCAGAATGTGTTTAACTTTTTAAAGTGTAATGATTTTAATACCCGGTAAAGGCCGGATTTTAATAGTCGATGAACCGAGTTGAAACCAAAAAAAGGAAAATGTCTTTAAACATGGCCCTTAAGCTGTCACAAATTATATTTATAACAAAGGTTTATTGCACGATCTCTAAAAAAATAAACCGTTCGTCTAGTAGGGCGGACTTAAAGGTCCTCAACCCCTTCTGAAGTCATATTCAAAGCCAGTTTCATCATATCACCTTTTGTCATAACGATCTGGGTCCAAAATATGCTTTTGAGGATTGAATTCATTGCAATATAAATGGACTTTTTGAGCATCAGGGTTCTTTAAAGACTTGTCAGAATATCCTCTTTTGCATTATAGTTATTTTATTTTCATCGTTTTTTGGACCTGCGATTTTAATTATTCCTGTTTTCAAAAATTAAAATTTTAGAGACAATATGCTGGAGGTTTCTGTATTCGATCGCAATTTATTTACCGATGATTATATTGGTTCCACTTATATCGATTTGGAGGACCGCTGGCGTACAAAGCATCGCGCCGCCGTTGGCATTTCAAAGGAATATTCAAAGTATGTATTAATCAACGTAATATTTAGTCTTTGACTTATATTATTTAAAATTTAAAAAAAATCAATATATTACTGTTACAGAAATGGCTACAACAAATGGCGTAATATTGCCACTCCTTTCGAAATCCTCTCAGAGCTTTGTTCCCAGCGCGATTTACCGCCGCCGAAATTCCTCGAACAACGCATTGAAGTGGATGGCTTGAAGTTTAAGGACGAAACGAGACTTGCGTTGGGTTTGTAATTTTCGTTCTATGAATTTTTGATAGATTTATTCATAAAACATCTTTGAAATCAATAGTTGAAAAAAGGCAAATAGACCAGAGTAGATAATTTTTTAAAACAAAAAAAAAAATCATAGTACGATGAAACTCATCGGAAACGAAAGGTAACATAACAAACTTTAAAGAAAAGGCAAAGTTTATGTTAACTAGTGGAGATATCTTAACCAGAAAAAAAAGAAATGTTTGAAAACTCCTTACAGAAAAACTATATTGTAAATAAGAATGATTAAATAGAAAGGTGCTAAAAAGTTAAAATAAGAACCTACTTAGGTGAAATACTCGAAATATATCAAGGTACCTTTCATCAAACCCTCGGACATATAATTATTGTGATATGTATAAATTTTTCACCAAAAATGAATAATAATAAGACTAAACCAAACCTTCTCTATATACAATTACGTTTATAAAACGTAAACTATCTCGTATAGAACTAAGAATTCAGCAAGCACTACTACTACTACTACATTAGAGTTTTTGGGACAAAGTATAAATTTCATATCATTTGGTATTCATAAAAGTCTCTAATTTGCCAGCTGACTTTAAATTTCTGAAGCTTTCTATTTGTCAGATCTGTATTTGCCACTTTTCTTTCCGATCTCCAACAACAGTAGGGTCACAACGAAAACTTCTACTCTCGCCAAAAATGTATTGTTATAGAATCACCACACCTAGAACAATTATATTGAATATAATTTATTACGCATTCATTTTCATTCGCCAGACGAGGAGTTACAGGAGCGTCTAAGCCTAACTGCTCTACATCATTTAGATCAGCTACCTTCCTTCGGCTACAAATTGGTACCAGAGCATGTAGAAACACGAACATTGTATCGACGCGATTGCCCAGGTATAGAGCAGGTAAGAAACTTTGAAACTCAATTTTTTCTCGTTGTAAAACAGTTGATAAAAGTTTAATTAGTTGGCCACTTTATATAAAGGTTTTAAACAAATAAATTTCAAGGAATTGGTGAGAATAGTGTAATGAATTATACATATCAAGCAATACATTTTTATTGTGTAATGTTTGGAGTTTTTCACTATCACTAGGGTAGATTAGGACTCCACCTTTATTCCGACTAATAACAAAAATGTTTTTTTCGCACAGCAATCTTATATATTTTAGATTTTTTGAAGAAGGTATACGAATTGCTGTTATTATTAAAATTATTGGCTTTTTATACCTTGAGCAGGGTTTTAAGTTTGCCACGTCTAAGAACCTATAAAATATATACCTATGTAAGTGATTAGCGTGACGAGCTGAGTCGATTTAGCCATGTCCGTTTGTCTATCCGTCTGTATATACGCGAACTAGTCCCTTATTTTTTGAGATATCAATCTGAAATTTTGCACACGTCTTTTACTCCCCAAGAAGCTGCTCATTTGTCGGAAACGCACTATAGCATATAGGTGCCATACAAACTGACCGAACAAAATGAAGTTCTTGTATGGAAACTATTTTATTTGTGAAGGGTATTATAACTTCGGCGCAACGAAGTAAACCTTTTTTTTTACATTGTTATTTGTGAACCAATTAGATGCACCGATTCACTAACAATTTTTCCTTAATAACATTTTTTTTTTTTTGTTTTAAATATCATTTTAGGGTAAAATTCAACTATGGGTTGAGCTATACGAGGGCAACTTAAATATACCACCACCGATTGATATCACACCGCATCCACCGCAAACTTACGAATTACGCGTTGTCGTCTACGGTTGCGCTGACATAACGTTGGATGAGCGTAATATATTTGGCAAAAAGATGAGCGATATCGGCGTGAAGGGGTGAGTAACTCAAAACTAATCAGCAACTCATTTAATTATTAAAAAAAAAAAAAAACGCGTATTTACTTTCAAGACTACACTACTCATTAATTAACAGCATTTGCAGTACTTTTTATGAAATATTTCTTTAAAACAAAAACTAAGCTTAATTAATATTGAACTGCAGTTGGTGCGCAGATAAGGAACAATCGCAGGCCACCGATATCCATTACCGTTCGTTCAACGGAGAGGCCACTTTTAATTGGCGCATGCTCTTCCCCATCAAGTACTCCGCCAATGAGGATATGGTGAGTAATGATTACCTTCATTATTCTCGCTTGTTTGTTAGTCTAATTTTTTCTACGTGTTCACAGCTCATTTAGTTAATGAGCGCTAAGTAAAAATATGCGAATATGAGCTGATGGCACAAAGTATTGCTTTCAAATAAAAAATTCAATATTAAATAGAAACGCATAAAAAAGCACAATATTTAATGGTGTGAGTAAAGTGTTGGTGAGCTATTAATTTGTACGCAATGTTTTTCGATTTTTGCTTTGTAATTTGATATTTTTAAGCTATAAGCATTAAGCATTAATTAAGGCGAAATTAATACATATGTATATTGTATGTACGTATGCCCTCAAAAGTACTAGTTTCAAAAGAAAAGTATGCTCTAGATTTTTCCAGATGTGAATAAACTGGAATTCGGAATTTCTGTTAAAAATATATTTTTTTACGAAGGACTAAATACATTACAATACATTCTTTAACCAAGACTAGCTTTAATATCATCCTTTTAATACACACACAAATACCTCTAAGTATCCTGGTGGTCAACTTTGTCATAAATAAAATTCTTAGTTTGTTGACTTACATTTTGCGCGTCAAATTATTAAACATAAGTCTGTACATACATATGTATATTAATTTCTGCAATTTCTTGGTAAGACATCAATATTTATGAATTACGCTTTGACGTTGTTTCACGAAAATTACGCTACTAGCAAAATAAATAAATAGGTATAATACATGAATATAAGAAATGACGTACTGGCTTATGCTTTTTATGTTGAATAAAATAATATGATAATTTATTTATGTTGAAATTTGTCAGAAATGTATCTGTACTTTTCGCATATACTGTTAAATAAGTTCCGCAAAAAATTAACGACAAATATTTTTCAACGGTAAATATTTCATAGAGCTTCGTCCACTTTGCTTAATCTATATATTGGAAGTCTATGAGATGCTCCGTTATGTCAGAGATGTCAACATTTAAAAAAAATGTCATTTGCAGTTACTTTGCCAAGTTTCTAAACCACGATGTTATAGATCCTTGATTTTTAGAACATTTTACTTTTAACCTCATAGGCCATAAAACTTCCAGAAAAGTCATTGAACACTTAGATTGATTCTTTTTAAGGGGGGGATTCTAGTCTAGACAGTTGTGGCAATTCATAAAAAAAAAGAAATTGATATTTTTACTAACTTTTTCTGGCATCTTTATATTCTGAACAGAGTATGTTAAGTTTTTCACAAAGTGTAACACCCAGAAGGAATCATCGGATACTCTATAAACTATATATGTATGCATATAAATGATCAGCATGACGAGCTGGGTCGATTTAGCCATGTTTGCTCTAGCTGTTTGTCTGTATATTCACGATTTAGTCCTTCAGTGTTTTAGATATCGATCAGAAATTTTACACAAGTACTTTTCTCTTCCAGAACTTGCTCATTTCTTGAAACCGCCGATATCGGACCACTCGAGCATATAGCTTCCAAACAAACAGATAATTAGGAAAATGTCTCATTAAAAGCAGTTGGAAAATATAAATTCATCAAAAACAAAACGACTACATTTGACAGAGAAAACCACCTCTTCTTCTAGCTCCTGACAACTTCTACAATAGTCATTGTATGGAGCACCTAGCCTGCTTGTGTGTCTGCCAATTAGACAATGACCTGTTAGCACCCCTATTAGGGTTCTTATGTTATACCTTTTGAATTTTAATAGTCTGCATGTGCGGCCCCTGTCTCATTCATGACACGTTTGTCTGCTTGTTAAGCAAGTCAGTGACTGACTCTATCGAGACTCAGCTAACTTTATAGCATGCTCGTCTATTAAACTTATACAAGTGGTCAGAGGCATATGTATTCCTTCTTTTCCGAAGCCCAATTGTAGGGTGGTGCTTGTTCTGGCTATGCCCTGGAACCCATTGTAGGATTATCGTGAATTAGGATGTTAGATCCACTAATAAATCAAGGCATTCACTATCTTTGACGGAACCCAAGGAGACTCTAGTGATTTCAATTCTGCTTGGCTATCCGTATATATAAATATATTTCTTGTTGTGATCACACTACTTGTCAGAACAACAAGACTTTCTTTGATTGCTGTGATCTCCGTTCGTGATTCGTGGTAATAGGTAGAAATGAGAACTTACTATGTATCATACTTGTACACAGAATGCCCCTTTATTACAGACGACCAATTGGAAGGATTTCCTTAGTCCTAAGAGCTGACTTCGCTGCCAGTTGCTTACAGAATAAGTCTGTTGGCAGTAAATGCACCATAAAATGACGTTTCAAATTAAGACTATTACAAAATCTTGAAAAAGTGCTTCGAATCAGAAGTTCTTGGAATCAAACATTTCCGTCTTTGTATAAACTAATACATTATTTAAGGAACGTTTTTAACAGAATATAGCTTCAGAGAAACGCATGTGGGATATTTAAAAGGCGCATATATGTACATAATTATGTGGTACAACACCTTTTCAACTCTCTTCATCTTACTGCATAATTACATATGAATGCATACACAAATTTACTGTTAGATATGAAAACGACTTCAACTGTCGCAACTTTTCCGTCTCATCCATAGATGGTGATCAAAGTCAAAAGTGGCGTACTCAACGAATATGAAGTTAAGCATCCGCCCATTTTATACCTTCAAGTGTGGGATAATGATTTCATAACTAAGAATGAATTTCTCGGTATGCTCGAATTGAATTTGTCGAACTTTCCTGAACCCTGC